CCCCCCAGGCACCCATGGGGGCAGGCTGGGGTGTTGCGGGGAGCTGAGCCCCGAGGGGACACGTTGTGCTCCGAGCTGCACATCTCGGGGTGCTTCTTATCCTGGTGCTGGCCGTGAAAACTGCGAGTTGTCCCAAGTTTCGGGCTCTTCCATCCCCACCTTCCCAACCGCTCCGTGCCTGGGTACCCCAAATCCGGGGGGAAGGGCCCGGATTGTTTCCATATGGCGATGCTTGGAGAAGCCAAACAAAGAGCAAACGGGAGAGTTCAGGGCCCCCTGAAGCCCTGCTCAGGAAACACGAGTCCTTCTCCTCTCCCGAGGACACCGCTGAGAAGGAACAAGTTGTTTGCTGCCCTTCCCGTGCACCCCCTCCCAGTGGGATCCGGGAAAAAACGTGGCCATTCCATCCAAGGACTTCCCAGCCCAGTTGGTGTGTGCTCAGTTCTTACTGGGAGGATGGGCTGTCCGAGCCCAAAGCAGGAAGGAGTTTCACTTCTCCCACCCTCCAAAAAAAACGTTGCAGCTTGAAAGTCAAGTGATGAGCCAGGCAGGAGGGTTTATAGTAGGGCAGGTATATATATATATATAAATATATATATGTATTTATATATAGGGCAGGTAGTTTGATCCCCAAATGCTTCCAGTACATCCAGAGCCTTTTGCAGAAAAGCTGCTCCAAGTGCCCTGAAAAGCTGGCAAATGGTCTGTAAGGGTCTTGTCAGAGAGCAATGGGAAAGAGAAAAGTGTTTGGCACAGGGATGGGGTGGAAAAGCTGCTGAAGCCCCAGCATTTTTCACTGGTGCTGCTGAGAATGGGAGCTCCAGAATGGGCTCTTAAAAGCACTTTCCCCCCCTCCCCTCTTTTTCCTGCATTGCTCTTTGCAGGAGTGAATCCAGCCCCTTATCTGAGGAATTCCCCCAGATGATCTGCTCCCTTTTGGGAGCTCTTTGTTCCTCCCAAGGAGCTGAGCAGCAAACAAATCAGCACATAAAATTCTTCCTGTGGAAGAATCCTGCCTTTTCTACTGGATGAAAATGAGCCTTCCCTTTTGCTTTGTTCAGTCTTGGGGTTTGGTTTGTGTTTGGTTTTATTTTCCTTTTGATTTTGGTGCTTTTTTGTAGCCTTGAGCTCCAACTCTTTGCTCTGTCTCCAGCTGCATAAAATAATCCTACCACCCCTCCTGTGCCTTTTGTCTAAAACACTCAGCCTGCTTGTTCCCTTCACCCTGCAGTGGATGATTTAGTTATTTAGTGATCTGGTTTGCAGAGGCAGAAAGTGGCACTAGTTCCAACTGACTATTTCCTGTCTTGAACTGTGTTTAAAGACTCACCTCACCTGGAAAGATTTTGTCTGCAGGAAGGGATAATACATAGGTGTGACAAAGAAAAACACAGGGACAGGTGGGAGAGCAGAGATTTAGTCACGTGGCAGAGAAATTAATGCCTGGAGGACTTTTATGTGCACGTACAAATATTTTTGATACGTTTGTATCTGGCACCTCTAATGAATAGAGTGAGCAAATAAATACATATGGGGATGTGGGTGTTGTCATAGTGCCCACAGGAAGCCTGTCATCCACTTCATTCTTGGTGTGAAATGGGATGAGTCAATTTGTCTCCTCTCTTGCAAGGAGAAGGGTTAAGGTCAGGTCACCATCACCTGGGACTGGAGTACAGAAACATGCTGAGGACAAGGGAACAGGGGAAATCTTTGCTTGGAGGTCTTGAGTTTTGGCCAAGAAGGTAAAAAATGCCATCCAGGGGAATTCTCTGAGGGCTCAGCAAGGGATAATGAGCACCTGTGGGCTCAATGCCTGTCTCTGGCCTGTTCCTCCTCCCCAGCTCTCCTGGGGCTTTTGACTCAACTGGTGGTCCTGGAATCCTGGGTGCTGTGTGTAGGTTGGGGCTGCTGCATTGACATCTGCAGGTAACTCTTTGTTGCAAGGATCCTTGGCAGACTGATGACCTTGGAGGATGTGTGAGACAGTCCAGGAAATTCTTGCCTAGGTTTGTGGTGTTGTCTTTGTCTCCAAAGCAGAGTCATTTGATGGCCCTGATGTGACTTTCAGGATCTCCCACTAACACACTGATTATCCTTGAGATAATGTTTTTGTTTTCTTTCCCTGCCCTGGCCATGATTTCTCACAAGTCATTCTTCTGAGAACAATTGCTATTTTTTTAATCCAAATATTCTCATAAAAAGCTTTTCTTTTCCTGAGAAAAACAGCACTGAGGAGAACCTCAAGAGGTCATGCAGTCCCACAGCAGAGTGGCACAGCTGCTGGCCAATATTTATCCAACTTACTCTTCAAAATACCCTATGAAAGGGACAGCTGAGCCTCAGGGAGCTCTCCCAGGGCTTCACTGCCTTCATCTCCTTCTGATAATCTGTTTGTGGTGAGACTGAAAGAGGCAGGACCAGGATTGATGCTGCCTTGCAGTTCCCATCATGAATCAGCCCTCACTTCATTTTGCATCCTCTAAGCACAGCCAAGAAAGGCAGTGCCTCATTGGAAGGCTTTGCCATCTGACTGCTCAAAATCAGCCTGTGGAACATCAGGAGTGGGCCTGACCTGTCTGCAGATATGCAGGTCATCAACTGCACCGTGGATGTGATGTTCTTAGATGTAAAATACAGAGATCATCTGTCCACTGCAAAGTGTGTGTGTCCCTTCTGGCCACTGGCACGGGCTGCCCAGGGAGGTGGTGGAGTCACCATCCCTGGAAGTATTTAAAAGAAATGTAGATCTAGAGCTTAGGGACGTGATTTAAGCACTGAATGGGTAAATTAGATTATGATAGGGGATTTAAGTTATGGTTGAGCTTGATGATCTTCAAGGTCCTTTCCAATCAGAATGATTCTATGATTCTGAGTCACTGGTCCAGGCTGTTTGATAGAACCACAGAATGGTTTGGGTTGGAAGGGACCTTAAGAATCATGTAGTTCCAACTCCCCTGCATGGGCAGGGACACCTTCTACTAGACCAGGTTGCTCCAAGCCCCATCCAACCTGCCCTTCAACACTGCCAGGGATGGGGCAGCCACAGCTTCTCTTGTCGACTTGTCCCAGTGTCTCAGCAACCTCACAGTCAAGAATTTCTTCCTAATATGCAATATAAATCTACCCTCCTTCAGCTTACGATTCCCCCTCATCCTATTGCTCCCTGCCCTTTTAAAAAGTTCTTCTCCAGATTTCCTGTGGCTCCTTCAAGTACTGGAAGACTTCTCTAAAGTCTCCCAGGAGCTGCCTCTTCTCCAGGTTTCTACAACCATTTCCCATCACTGAAGGCTCTTTTCCAATCTTTCCTCTTTCTTGGGCAGATCTGAAGGATGTGGGATGGGAACCAGCTGGTGAAATCCATCCTGCTGGTCTAGGATAAACCATTTCAGGCAACCTGCCATGGAGGAAGACATGGGTTTTTTTTTTCCTGTCCCCTTGCTCCAAATTCAAAAGGTTGGCTGCATATGGTGCCTTCATTGTGCTGTGGCTCCCTGAGTAGCAGGACAGTGCAAGTCCTTGCAGGTTTTTTTGGGCTTGCTCTAGCTGAGAAATTGTTTCCACCTCGTGCACTCGCTCACGTGTAGCCTGGGCTTTGTACCCTCCTGCCAAAGGCAGGTCACAGAAAGCTCAAACACGTGCTCATGCCTGAAGTATTTCCTATCAGTGTCTGTGGTAGCTGAGCAGAGTAAACCCAAATTTCAGGCTTCAGGTTGCAGGCCTGAACTTGCTTCCATTGTTTAGTTTCAAGCTGGCAGCTGTAGCTTGAACCCACCATTGGTGCAAACAGGAGCGTGCCAGAAAGTGCCAGGCTGACCTGTGGTTGTGTTGAGGCTTTAGCTCCCTGTTGGGCATGTCAAGAGCTGGAAATGTATCTTATGCTTGAATCCTTCACATGGCCATGGGTTTTATTTGGGGGAAAAAACCAAACCCAAACCCTATCACAGATTGTTACAGCTAAAATATCAAGCGTGGCTGTGGCCAAGCACAGCGCGTGCCGTGTGTCGGAGGTGGGGACCACCAGGTGAGGAGAGGTCCTCCCACCAGCCCCTGACTGAGATGTGCCTTTCCCTTGCAGCCCATACACTCATCTGCTTTTCCTGCTCGGATGCATCTTCCAACTGGGCCTGCCTGAAGCCTGTGAAGTGTGGGGAGAATGAAGACCACTGTGTGACAACGTACGTTGGAGTGGGATTAGGTGAGTAGTGACAGAACCTTCTTCTGCCCCTCTTGGCTGCTCTCCTGGGTCACTTACTGAGCTTCCCTCAGGCTTTCCCTCCTTTGGATGGAAAAAGGGGAAAGTTCTGCTTAGCAACTGAGTGTTGGACCATCCCAAGGGAATTTTTAGGAGGCCGCCAGACGGAGTCACGTTCAAGTCCATGTGCCTGCACCAATGCTGGGAGTCTGAGGGGAGCTTTGAGGTGGGAACATTGCTGATGAAGAAATGAAAATGTGGAGGATGCTGCAGTCTTACTCTGTCAGAAAGCTCCAGGGTTTCTCTTCCTCCTGTTACCCTGTGTTTGGGTTGTTCATCCTCAATTGCCACTTTCCTTCTTTGCTCTCCATGGATGAGGTGGGGTTGCCAGGAAGGAAGAGTAGCAGGTTTCCTCCCTAATTGCCAGGAAAGATTTAGGGTGGGGAGGGTCTGTGCTTCCCATCTGCTGCTTGTAGGGAAGGAGGCTGCTCTGGCAGTTCTGCTGCCACTGCAGAGCCCAGAGCCAAGCCTGGCCTGGCTTCTTCTCCCTTGCAGGAAGGAGGGGTGTCACATACCTGACTTGCAAGGTCCTCAACGTGGGTGGGTGACACATGCACAAGTGGAGGTCGGGAGCCTTCATAAACCTGTCACTGTAGCACAGGGCTGATGGTTCCCTATTTATTGCTGCTAAATGTGGGCTGTGCCTCTCTCACAGCTGATGTTCAAAGCACAGCCTTTGCTCACAAGTGCCTCCCCTGTGCTCTGTGTGTCCCGTGCTCCCTGTCTCACCCCACGAGCCTCAGGGTCAAGCTTGAGTGGGATTTTTGAGATTTTTCACTGGAGCGGCCAAACTTTGGCTGGCAGCCTGGCAGGGGTGTCTCTGGGGTATTACACAGTCTGTAGAGCCTGTGTGGGAGGTAGTCATGGGTTTTCTTGGAGATGTGTGGGCTGGCTGAGATTATTGTCATAGCCTGACACCAGGAGGCCCTTCATTCTCCCCCTGTGATGCTTTGGCTATTTCAGTGCTGTTACTTCCTTTTGTACAACAGGTGATCAGAAAGCCTATAGAAACGTTATCAACTCATCTCTCTTTTTTTTTTTTTTTTTTTGCTTTTCTTTCTTTCTTCCTGCCCTAACCTCAATTCAGGTGGCAAGTCTGGCCAGTCCATCTCCAAAGGATGCTCTCCCATTTGCCCCAGTGCTGGGATTAACCTGGGCATAGCGGCTGCCTCCGTTTACTGCTGCAACTCCTTCCTCTGCAACATCAGTGGTTCCAGCAGTGTGAAAGCCAGTTACACAGTCCTGGCCTTGGGAGTCCTGGTTAGCTTCATCTACATCCTGAGGGCTCGTGAGTGATGGGGCTGGCCAAGGAAGAGCCATCTTGCACGGGCTGTCCCAGGTCTCATTAACCAATATCTTCTCTGTCGCTGTCTGCAAGGAGATCCTCTGCTGCCCAGCAGGCTTCCAAGGTGGTTGTTCCCCAGATTTTAGGCTCTTCCAGCATCAGAGACCAGGGCAGTTTGGCCAAGCTGTTCTCCTCCTTCTGTGGACACACCCCACTGCACTCTCACACCTCCTTGGCAAAGGTGGATCATTTTGGAAGGGTTTCTGCTTTTATACCTAATACTACCCCCCTCGTTTCTAAGATTGATTAAAACAAAGCTGGGACTCGCTGAGAACCAATTCACCCCAGATACCATCTGGTCAAGTGTTCAGACATTCCTGCCTCTCACCTCCATGGAGGTGCCTGGCACTGGTGTGCTCCCAGCACATGGGTGTTCTGGGCACTGGGAATGCATGACCCGAAGGGAGACACATTCCTGGCCCCTGCAGCTACAGCCTCTTTTTATAAAATCATTTCCGTTTCTTCTGATCCTGGGCTGATTTTTTTCTGGAAACCAAATGCCATGTACCTTGTCCCTCTGAGCTCTGTAAGTGCCAGACCTGAATAAACATGCTCCTGTTGTTACCTGAGCTGGGACGTGTGCTGTGTGTTTCCTTGCTTCAGACAGAGAGATTAGAAATGCTCTTAGAAGAAACTCAAATATTATGCCCAGCACAAGGGTCTCTTACATTCTCAAGTAGCTTTTGAGGGCTTCATCTCAACATTCTTTTCAGTTCACCTCTGAGCAGCAAGTCCATCCTGTTCTTTTCTGATGAACACCCTGGCCTGCTTGTCTCACCTCTCTTGGGAATTGTGTTTTTTGGGTGCATTTTAGTGAAAATGGCAATTATTGGCATCTGAGTCAACCCCATTACTCCTACTGGATGAAGCTCACTGGGAACAGGACCTCTAAAAATTAGTCTGCATGTTACAAAGACTTGGTGTCTCCACTTCCTGACTTTGGACACGTGATGGTGATAGACAATAACATCAATACCAGGGCAACAGGTCTCTGCAAGAATTTATGAAGTCAAAGGCAAAGATATCACTACTCAGATCTTTAGGTTCAACCTGCAACCCCTGGCTGATGGTGCACGTGGACTGCAGAAGGTGACTTTGCCACCAAACCTGCTACTCCTGTCCCTCAGATCCCAGGATCTTCCCAAGTCTTGACAGTGTTGCTCCTGGAAGTTGCCATCCCATGGGAGATGTGTCCTCCTGCCATCGCTTCATCGTGCTGGATTCCCACCTGCTTTGCCTACCTGTGGACCTGCTAGACACAAAACAAGCCAAAAATGAGCTTGAAACTGTCAGGCAAAGGCTTGCTGTCATCTCCACTCACTGATCAGAGGTGCACTGGGCTTTTTTTTTTCTCTTCTAGCAGCAAAAATCAAGGTGTAACATGGGCACTCTTTAGCCATGTCCTCCTTGTACCTGGTTCCATTTCATGTCAAAAAACCAAACAAAAACCACTCAAGCTGCACACACTTGTCAATGATACCTGCATCTCCACTGAAGGGAGTGAGAAACAGCTTCTCTTGAAACACGGTGTGCAGATGTATAGAAATATTTGCAAGAAAAGTGGTGACATGTTTTTCCCCTCCTCTTCCTTCCCATCTTTTAATTAAAATGACCCAGCTGCTAATGGCAGCCTTTGTTGTGATGTGACCTGTGATTAGATGATGAGTTTGGTAAGAATGTACCACGCTGACTCCATTGTCTCATTGGGCCTGAGATGTGCCTTCCTCTGGTTAATGCATCTTCCCTCACCTGCTGGGACCTCTGGTAGGACCACAGGGCTTGAGGTGAGCTGTGAACCTCTACTATGCACCTGCAGCACAGGAAAAGGTGGGGAAAAAAAAGTTACTAGAGATGGGTTAAATATTTCCCAACTTGCCTGTGCCTGAGCCTTCCTCCCAAGAAGGTTACCAACCTTGTTTGCAAGGTTGATTTGTTTCTTGACACTTGCTGTGAGGAGATGCTGTAGGCCCTGTGGGATTGCTGCAGATTGGAGGTGTGGAGATGCCCTAGGGTGAAGCTAAGAGCACCCAGAGTGCTCTACCTTGCAATTCATTGGGCTGTACTTTTCTAGCCACTGGGTAATAGGGCATCATTTTTTGACCCAGTTACCCCCTGACAACACCTCTGCTGTGAGTGAAGAACTGACTTTAAAAGCCACCAGCAAAGCTGTGTCCTGATGTCTTCTCATGCCTGTACAAGGCTCCTGAGGATGCTACACTGGACAGTCCTATGGGTTAAAGCTGCAAGAAGGGTTATGACAGCTGGGTGTCTCCTCCAGTGGCCATCTCCTTCCTATCCAGTGAAGACAGGCTGGGAGAGTTGGAATGTTCACCCTGGAGAAGAGAAGGCTCCAGGGAGACCTTAGAGCACCTTCCAGTGCCTGAAGGGGCTCCAGGAAAGCTGGGGAGGGAGTTTAACGTGTAGAGATAGAACAAGGGGGAAACGGTTTCAGATTGAAAGAGTAGATCTAGATTGGATATTTTAGGAATAAATTATTTCCTGTGAAGATGGTGAAACACTGAAAGAGGTTGCCTAGACAAGCTGTGGCTGCTTCCTCCCTGGCAGTGTTGAAGGCCAGGCTGGATGGGCTTGGAGCAGCCTGGGCTGGTGGGAGGTGTTGGTGGCCATGGCAGGGAGGTTTGAACTAGATGATCTTTGCAGTCTCTTCCAACCCAACCCATTCTATGATTCTCTCTGCATTTCAGAGTTTGCTCGTGCCAAGGACTAGCAAGTGACATGCAAGTGAGCAAGGGCTGTTGGGAAGAGCATTCCCCAGGTTACTTATCCTGTACAAATAACAAGTTATATTAATGCTATTGCCAGGGGACAGATCTGAAGGTCAGTCCACACGTGTTCTTGAGCCTAGAGATGATGAATAGATTGTGTATGGAGATTTTTCCCCCCCCTGTTCACTGTCTTTTTGTCTTTCCTCCTCATGTGCTGTGTTCTTGGATGCTTAGTATGTGGAAGAAGAGGTATTTTCAGTTTTTTTTTTTTAAAAGATGTGGCAAAGATCTCCTTGATGGAAGTATGTATGTTTGAGAGGAAGGGAGGGTATGACAGCTTCTCAAATGCAAGAGGTGTTGCTCCACAGTTTAATCCCAAGCATCATATGATCAGTTCTGCCAACTCTGGGCCTATTAGAGATTTTCTTCTTTTTGCCCCCAAATCTCCAGCACCAGAAATCACCTCAGCTGTTGTAAAGCCCAGGGGTGTAAAGCCTGAAAATGAGCAACTGCAGTAATTAAAGACATTAATAACAATATAAAGAAAGAGCAAGAACCTGGCATTTATAGAGCATTAGAACTGGTGGTTTGTTAAATCAAATGCCTGATTTACAACTTGAGGGCCATAGTGGGACAGCCCTTAAGTGCTTTGAATGTGCTTTTTTGGACTGTGGAATTAGAGATCAAAAGCTCAGCAGAAAAGACAGATCTTCACCTTTTCTGCCAGGGGGGTTGTGAGGAGGCAGCTTGGCTCTGGGCAAGCAGAAAACACCCCAGAACAGTTTTCACTGGAAAATAAAAGAGCTTCAGTCAAATACCTGCTCATTTTGGAGCATGCTCATGAGGAGATGGGGTTTTTTTGGGGCTTCCATCCTGCAAATGGCTGTATTTCAGTGGCAGCTGCTGCTGTCTGTCCTTGCAAGGGCTCTCTCGTTTTTGTGTGTTGTCTGTACCTGCTCCAAGCTTTCTGCAGCACCAGCCCTTTCCACCCAGGTTTGCTGGGTTTGCTGCTTGCCATTTCAAAATGAACCAAGTTCTTCCAACTGTCTTTGAGGGCTTTTTTGTCTGCAGAATGTTGAAACCGTTTCTTCCTTCTGGGAAACAGAAACCTCATGTGACTTCCTTGCACAAACGGCCAGAACAAAGAAAGCCAGTTGCTTAATCATTACTCAAAGGATCCATATCCTTACTCAAAGAACGTCTTTGCTTGGTGTTAATTTACTCAAGTTATGGGTTATTTGAAATAATTTGCCTCTGGGGGACTCTCTTTGCCATGAAGGAGGCTGTGATCCCACCACCCCTGTGGGAAGCCTTGTGGCTCTGCTCTGGGTGGCTCTGGAGATAGAGGCATCCATGCTCTCCTGTCTCCAGGAAAGGCAGCTGTGGTGCACATCTGGATGCTTAGAGGTCTAGGGTGCTATCACAAACCCCTTGCTCCTCTGGTCTCAATGCCTTTTTTACTCTGATGCTGGGCTGTGCTTGCAGGGTCACCCTCAGCAATGAGGTGCTGCAGGTCTCAGCTGTTTGGGATCAGGATCAACTCTGATTCCTTCCTTGATCCTAAAGGAGTCATTTCACCCCTGTACAGCTGCTGGCTGAGACTAGGAAACTGGAATGGGGAGACACCCAACTTGGCATCTGGGGAATATCCATGGTACCCAGGGAAGTAAAGCCCTGGGCCAGCCCTGCCATCTACTGGCTTTTGCCAGACCTGGGAGAGATGCTTTGAAACCCAGATCTCCCAAGTCAAGGGGTAACCCTTAACACTTGAAAGGGAGCCAAGCACCAGCTACCTGTAACCAGATAATTGCATGCAAAGCAGAGAATCAGAAGCATCAGAGACAGGCTGGATGTGTTAATTTGTCCTGCTTTGCACTGATAGTGTAACTTGAGAAATGAGAAGCTTATCAGGCTTCCCAGGACCAACGTTTTTCCAAGGGAACACTTTTTGCAGCCAAAGCCTACCATTTCATCAAAGCTGAAACACTTCATGAAACTATAATAAGGCCAATAAAGTGTTGCAGAAAAAAAAATATTGACACATTTTATTTCAGCTTTGTTGGATGATCTCATTTCACTGAGATGGTTACACTGGAGTGTTGATGATACTGATACACATATGTGAGGTTTGTAATCCTGTATTGCCTTTATTGTAACAGCATAAAGAAACATTGATTCCTTTATATATATTAACAGAAGTGTAAGTGTAGTGTGTGTTACTTACT